TTAGCATATGCATTTTCTAAATTTTTTACACAAAACTTTACATTATTTTAAAACTAATATTTAAAAGTGTTATACGAATTACAAAAAAAACTATAATAATTTCTTTGTTATCACTATTCAATCAGATCAAAATTAATTTCTGATTTTAATATTATTTAATAAAAAAGTAAATACTCAGGAAATTTAAAAATAAATTAACAGCGAAAATGTTTTTAAAATATAACAAATTCTTTACAAAATTCTTTATAAAGGAGTAAAATAGTTTATTTTAAATTTATATTTTATAGAAATAATTTTATATAAAGATAATTGTGTTTAGTTTACAATAAAATTTTTTGATTAAATAATATCGTTTTAATTTTTACTTTGTGTATTTAGATATCTGTTTATTGTATTTTATATTTTAAAAATAAAAAATTTTTTAAAAATTTTTTAAAATTTACTCCTAAATGTTATATCAGTTGGTTATGATAGAATTTATTAAATTAATACTTACAACAGAGTATTCAGATATAAATAATCTTCATGTATTATTAGAGAGTATCACTTTAGACTCAAATAATTCTAATTTTCAAAATACAGAAAATAGCGAAGATGAATTTTTAGAGAGATTAAAAACTAACACAACGGGTGATTTTCCTCAAATACAAGAAGTTTATTTCTTAAATCAACATTCTTTTATTCTTAAATTACTACAATATCATAAAATACTGACTATTTTACTAACATACACATTTGAAAAAGGTTATGAAAATGTGAAAATTGATAAAGAAGTATTTAAATTAGATGATGAAGATATAAAAAGTAAAGAATATTTAAAACAGATTAATAATTTTAATGATTTTTATGTTTTTCAATCACAAGAATTTAAATTAATTTTTAATCAAATTTTAAATTTTTATTCTGAAACTTTGATTGAATTAATTAAAAGTTGTTATGAGGACAAGAGTTATATGAGGCATTATAAGAAATGTAAAGAAATATTTTTTCAAGTAGAAGAGTTAGAAATACTTAAAAGATTAAATAATTTTTCATTGAAAAATAACGTTTCTAGTTATAAATTACAATGTTATATACTAAGATTTATAAGAGAATATTTTTATTTTAGAAGTGTTTTTAATAATATTTCATTTTTTAAAAATACCACTAGCTATCTTATAAATCATTTTGAAAACAAACTAATAGAAAATTTTTGCTTTCCCCATGATGAAATAAAAACATGGTATTTTGAGAGTATTATGAAAGAATTTGAATCCTTTTTAGTAGTTTTTAATGATCATGTAAAAACAGTTGGTTTTAAAACAAAGGATGAGTTTATAAACCTTGTTAAATCGATAGTTACTTCTATTTTTTCATCATTTGTTAATTTAGGAAAATATCATTATATTAAAAAACATTTATTTTTTGATATCAATAAAAAAGAATTAGAATTTATTAGTAAAAATCAAGGTAAAAAGAGTTATTTGGAAATTAACAATAATAAGATTAAAGATTATAAAATAGGTAATGCTAAAGAATTAGTAATTAAAGAAAAGAATGAATATTTTACTAAATTGGATTATTTTGATTTTATTTATGAAGAATATAAAGAGATTAACGAATTAATTGAAGAGATGAATGCTTTTGGTAATAAAGAAAATGAATTTAATGGATATTTAAATCAAATGTTAATAACAATTTTAAATTTTTCAGAGAAAAAAGTTGAATTAAAAGATAATTTAAGAAAGTTACCAAAAAGTGAAAAATTACCTGATGATTTTAAAAAATATTATCATTTTAATTATTCTAACAGTTTTTACAATGAAAAAATTTATTTAATTTATCTTCATCAATTACTAAAGGCTAAAATTCAAACACTTCCAGATAACCAAGAAAATAATTTAATTATTTATACTTTTTCAAATGTGTTGATTTTAAAAATTTATGATTTACTAAATTTCATAAGTTTAGCTGAAAGAAACCCTCTTTATATTGAGAATTTAGATAGAATGTTAACATTCATTGATAATCTAGATGATAATTAAATTATTTTTACAATTTATAGTAATGTAAATTAATCTAAATAACTTTGAAATAAGTTTAATAGTTTTTTATATAAAAAAATGACTTTAATTGATAAATTTTATAAAAATAACGTTTTTAATATATGAAAGGATTTTAAATACAAACACTGTTTATAATTAAAAAAATAAATATAAGTAATATAAATTAAAAATAAAATATTTTATTTAATAATAAAACTGGTTTATTTAATTATTCTATAATTTCATTAGTATTTTTTAATATTTTTAAAAGTTTTACTTTGAAATATTACATATGAAATTATTTTAATTTATTTATTAACACTACATGTGTGGTTATTAATAATCATTTCAAATATTTCATTAAATAAAACATCATTTTAAATTATAAATTTTACTTCAAACAAATTAAGGTTAAATTTTTATTTCAAACAAATTAAACTTTTATAAAAACCCTTTATATGAGAAATAATTTAATGAATATTTTAAAACTCATTTTTATAATAATAACTTACAATGTAAAGATTATAAAATCTGAAAAAGAGATTAAGGATCAAATACATCTTTTAACTTTACAGTGTGAAGATAAATGTAGAAGACTTAAAGTAGACATATTAAAAAACATAATGAAAAGGTTATTAGATGATGATAATAGTAATTTAAAAAATAATAATCTTCTTTCTTATTTTAATTGTGATTTAGAAACTATTAATTGTAATGATGAAAATAATTTTTATACAGAGTTGTGTTTATTTCTAAATAAATACATGAAATTAATGAAAATGAATGAGTGTGAAATCTTAGATAAATTGAAAAAGTTAAAAAAAGATTGTAATTGGAGTTTCTTAGCAAAATTGGATGATTTTATTATAAAATTGGTAAGAAAAATACTCTTTGATTACAAATATCCTAAAATTAGTATTAAAATTAAAGATTTAGAATATTTAATTATTGAAAGAGAAATTAGTGAGTGTTTTAGAATTACATGGGAAAATTTAAAAATGAATGAATTAATACAAAGAATTGTAAATTTAAAAGAAAGACTTGTAAAATGTGATGAATCAAGAAAAACTAGTTCTACTTCTCATTTAAAAAAATACAACTTTAAGTCAAAAGTTGATAATAGATTTATAAATTTAAATAAATACAAATTATATTTCTTAAATAAAAGAAATAAAATGACTGTATGTAATGATCAAGACAGAGAAGTTTATTTTCCTGTTTTTATAAAGAAAATTAAAAGACATTTACTTTTTAAAATTAACGAGTATAATAATTTTATCAAAGAATTAAATTTAACAGATGAAAAATCACAATCTAGAAGAGATCAAATTATAAATTTGATAAAAGACAACATGAAGTTTGTAGAGTCGTTAAAAGATGAAAATGATACCAGAGAATTTAAAAGTGTTATGTTTAATATTGTAGAGCGATTAAAAATGTTAGAAGAAGCAGATAAATTTATTAATTCTACAAATAATGAATCTAATGATAATTATAGTAGTGAAAGTGAAGATGATAACAATCAGTTTATTTAAAAAGTTTTCATGTAATTAATAAAAGTTATTTTCTACAAAAACTAATTTTTTTAAATAAATTAATTAAAATGGATTTCGAATTATCAAATTTTATAAACAATGATTTAAGACTAATATATAGTGGAGATAAGAATTTAACATTACATGAAACTATGAATATAATTAATATCGTGTATAAAAGAGAGTCAAATGATAAATATAAGTATATTAATGATCATAATCAGATTTACATAGATATTGAAGTAACATTTTACAAGATTATTGAGGAAATAGAAATTGAATATGATTTAGATTCTTTACTTAACTTATTTGATAAGTGTAATTGTTTTGCTTATAAAGTATCAAGTATTTTTTATTACGTAAATAATAACTATGTAAAATATGAAAATAGAGTAAAACCAGACAATTGTTTAGAAATTGATTGTTTGTTTCTTTCAATATTAAATAAGAGAATTGAACATGAAAAGGTGTTAATTGTGTTTTTTACAGAATTAAACAATTATAGATTATTGCCTTCTATAAATAGATATGAAAATGCAGTTAAATTTGAAAAGTTTATTAATTTTTATAAGAAAATGCTTAAAACAACCTTTAATGATCTCATTCTTGATGAATTTTATGAAAATTACTTAAAGGACATAAAAAGACATTTGACATACTTTAAGAAAGAATCTTCAGATATATCAAAGTTACTAAGAACATGTTATATTGAAATGAATTTTGCAAATCATTTTGTTAATAGATGCTTATTGCCAAGAATAGCTTCTTATATAAATGATAAATCAGATTTAATACTCAAGTATGTTGAAACAAGATTAACTAATTTTTTATCGGTTAATTATACTTATTTTATACTCTGTAATATGAATGATAATATTAAGATAAAGTTTAATTCATTGTGTAAAAAACATATCATTAACACACTCAATCTTATAAAAGTTTCTAATCCAGTATCATTATGTACAAACTACTTTAAGTTATATAATCAGATAATTTCTAATAATTTTGATAATATTGATTTATTAAAAAAATATGTGAGAGAAAAAATTAAAGAAATAAAAGAAAGTAATTTAAATCAAATTAAAAAATTCTTAATTGAGAAAATTAATGATAAAATAATTAGAATTAATAATAACATAGAATGCGATTTAAATAGTTTATATTTGTTATATGAAATAATTTATAAAGAAGATGTTGGTGTGGATTTAAGAACAATGTATCTTTATTATTGTCAAAAAAGGTTGTTATTGGGATATGACCCAATAATAGAGAGTAAGTATGAGCAAATTATTGGTAATAATATAGAAAGAGATTCTTATTTGACAAGATCAATTAAATCATTCACTAACAAGATTAAGTATCCAACTTTTAATTTAATTTATTGTCCAAAATTATTTTGGACTAAATTTATTGAAGATACTTGCAATAGAAAAGAGGATCCTAAATTGGTTGATTTTATCAGTAGGAGATATAAATTAGGTATAAACTTAACTAAAGTAAATAAGGATTTAAACAAAGATAACATTAAAATGACTAATTTGATTATAAGAAATGATCTTAGTAAAATCACTTTTAAGATTAATAATTATACTATTATATCAAACGTTATTGATTTTTGTATAATTAACTTTATAAACGATAATGAAGTAATTGATTTAGAAATGATTTCATCAAAGTTAAGATTTGATAAAGAATTTATAATTGACAGAGTTAATAGTATGATTAATGAAGGATTTATAAAATTTGATAAAATGTATTTTATAACAGCCAATAAAGACTTAAAATTATATGAACCAACATCTAGTACAGTTAAAACGGTAGATATTCCATATGATTGTAGTATAAATAATGAGATGGTTTTAGAAGCTAAAGTACTGAAAATTATTAAACAGAAAAAATCAATATCTTTAAGTAATTTAAAAACATTATTTGAAGGAAATATATTATTAATAATAGAAAAGTTAAAAGATAAAGATTTAGTTAAAATTAGTGAAACAGATAATGAAATAATTGAATATTGTTAAATAAAAGTAAAATTTGCTTAAATTTCTAAATTAGCAATAAATCATGTAATAAAATTTTTAATAAAAAAATAAAGCCCATCTGTTTATGCTTGAAAAAATAAAAAATCTTAGTTACTCAAACCTAATTACATGTGAAGAGTTTAATCTAGTATTTTCACAACTACCTAACATATTAAAAACAGAAAAGAAGTTTACTAACGATAACCTTAATAACGCTATGAGTGTACATTCTTATTTTAGTTTAATAGCCATGATTCCTTTGTATCTTTTAATAAAACAGTTTAGTAAGGCTCAAGTTAGATTTATTATTACTGGAGTACCACTAGTATGTACATTGTTGGTTTATTTTAGTAAAGAAAACTCTTTAATGGCGGGAGGTGTAATTTATGCATTAGTATCACTATTTGATAATTCAAAAAATGTAATTTCTAAATTAGGCGTTGGAAATGGTAGTTTTGATTATCAAAATTACATTTTTAAAGATTTAATTAAGAAATTGTTATCTTCTTGTGTTGGTTGGATATCACAGGAATTATTTGACATAACTAAAGAATTTAGCATTAATTATTGTTATACTTTATTGGTTACATCAGTATGTTCAATTATAGTATTTATACAGCTATTTGGTGATATTAAGCAACCAAAATTTTCATTAAATAATCTATGGGATACACTAAAGAAAAGTCATAAGACGATTGATAATAAACAAAAGCTTATTCTTTTATTATCAACAATCAATAGTGCAATTTATACTGATTGTCAGTTTATTTATTATGAGTTGTTATTAGAACTTAAAGATGCTAAAAATTCTAAAAATCAATCATTCAAAATTATTGAAGTGATTTATTTGGGAATTAAAAAAATCATTAATATTATTTGTTTGATATTAATATTCCCATTTCAGTTAATTTTTAACAATATTGGAGAAAAATATTCAAAGAAAGTAAATTTAACTAATAAGAATAATAATGATAATAAAAGTAATAATATGAGTAATACTGGTTACTTTCTAGGATTAGTTAAGATTTTATCTATTTTATTTATTTATCTATTAAGTTTTAAGTTTTTAGAGAGTTCATTTGAATTAATTTTCTTAAGTTATTGTTCTTTATTGATAATTTCTATCATAATAATTATAAATACATCTAATAAGAACATTATTGATAGCGGTTATTTTTTTATGAATATGTCATCAATGGGCAGTAGTGAATTATCATTATACTTCTTGAAGGAGTACAGTATTGATCAAAAAAAAGTGACCACTTGAAAAATATGATAAATAAATTTAATTTAACATTTTTAATAATAAAT